ATCTCATTTATCCTTGGAACAAAATTTGGGCAAAATTAAAAAATGTGTACAAAAGTATACAACAAAAAATATGTCCTGCTCTGTTTATTTCTAAGCAAAATGTTAGGGTGAAAAAGCAAAGGTCTAATTGGAACAATATTAAAAGATTTAAAGCTTCACGTTTCTCCTTTGCTCTCCAGTGCATATATTGAAGTACAAAGTTTTAATCTCCTAGAAGATAGCATTCAAATAATACAGTATTTGTGATTACCTGTTATTAAATGTCAAGTTTTTTCCACTCTTATGTAACTTTAAATAAAGAATCACCTGCTTACTATTTCTTTAGGAAAACACTAATAAAACAAATGACTTAAAAACAATAATGATGATGCTTACCAACTATACATAAACAGATCTCATTTCCCAACATTTTCCGTAATTCTTTGACCCAGTTTTTTACCTGCATATATAGAAGAGCAGATATTAAAACAAATCCTTTTACATCTACCATTAGAAGGTCCCAATATTATATAATCTCAGTTTTATCTAACAATATAATAAGTTATTACAAGAAATAATTCACAATGGGATATCTCACCGCCCCGCCACCGACCCCCCTCCACATACACACACACATGCGCAAGCACACATAACAAAGGTCTCTATATGTATATACACATGAGTATACATAGGGATGTTCTAAAAACTTTTTATAAAAATTTTTAATAGAGCCAAATAGAGAGCAAAGTCATATCAACTCTAAACTACAGATACTTATATGAGGGGGTTTCAAAATGTTCATGGAAAAATCCCATTATCTTTTAATTCCATTTGTCCATGAACTTTTTGAAGCCTACTTGTAGAGTCATTTTAGATTTAGAAATACATGCTTTAAAGCAGTCTTTTGAACCGCAATTTATTCCTAAATTATAAGTGTAGGAGTTTCTGTGTCACCTACTTAAACATGTAAAGGAGTGGGGAAAAAAACAACTGATAAAAGTACTTTCTCTTTTTTATTATTAAATACTTTTACTGGGGGCTTACATCTCTTATCACAATCCACACATTCATCCAGTGTCAAAAGTACATCTGCACATATGCTGCCATCATTTTCAAAGCATTCTCTTCCCACTTGAGCCCCTGATATCAGCTCATTTATTCCCCATCTCCCCCACCCCCCATCTCTCTCAGGAACCCTTGATAAGTTATAGATTATTTTCATATCTTACATTGTCCTCCATTGCCCCTCACCCACTTTTCCATTGTTCGTTCCCCTGGGAGGGGGTTATAGATTGATCCTTGTGATAGATTCCCCCTTTCTCCCCCCACACTCCCCTAATCCCCCTGGTATCTCGACCCTCATTGTTGGCCCTGGGAGGTTTATCTATTCTCTGTGTTGCGGGCTCTTATCTGTAGAAGTGTGCATGTTCTGGTCTAATCCAATTTGTAA